AGTGCATCTTTCACTGGCAGGCTACAGAAGAGCTGCACCACACATCTCGATTGGCTGAGACCTGACAGCATCTCTGATCACCGTCTCTGTTTAATCGCTAGGAAGGAGGAAGAACAAGATCGTCAGGAAGCAGTGACATAGAGATTTCTTGGGGACACTTGGGAGGTACAGACACATGTCTCAGATGGCTGTAAAAGTAGTCAGTGACATAATGGCATCTAGGTTGACAGGGAGACGTGCAGAACTCAGAAACAAAACCCCCAGCAAGGCACAGTAGTCTCTTCCTATAGAAAATAGTGCCAGATACCTATTTTGAGTTCCAAAGTTGTACTATTCATACATAGCTAGGGATCTGGAGGCAGGTGAGAAAGTTTTGAGATATAGCTCCATCTAAACGAAAACAACACAGGCTAACATCTATTACAGAAGAAAGTCTTATAGCTGTCACAAGAGATGGATGTTGAGGAAAAGAGAGAGGATGCTTGACTCCACACGGAAACGTGCTTGGTCTCTGCTCTCATTCTGCTTGGCCATAGGAAAACAAATTTTCCTAATGAATGCCCATGTTCATCTGAATGTAATGTGAAAATGTAATGCCAAAGAGAAAATGGGTTCGCCGTGCACTGTACCATGTTTCCATTTCCAGGATCAAGGTAGTTATTCTAAGTGCTACTAAAAGCATGGGAAGTGATGAGACAGACAAGGCATGGCATGAATGGATGAAGTAATAGAGCCAACCTTATATAAGGTTGACAAAGTGTAGAAATAGGATTTGAAGTTATTACTGGAAAATGCTCATTGTACTTTTAAAGAACTGAAAAAGATAAATTCAGAGAGTCAATTAGGGGCTTGGAAGGGTCAAACTCCTCACCTCCTTGAATCTTTTAAAACCTCCCTGGTGCATAAAAGTGTACCTAAAGAAAATACACATACTGGTCTTTGTCCATTCTTACTCTGACCTCTTAGATGTCAAGCAAGAAGAACCAATACTTCCTCCACTGGGGCAGGAATTAGTATCACCTTGTGTATGCAAAGGGCACTGAAGCCACCGTGAAATTCATCTCCAGATGGTTCTTGCATTATGGAATTCTGAGATCGTCTCCCACACTGGGCTTGCAATGCCAACATCTCCACCCACCTAATCAGAAATCACAGCCCTGACTCCACCCTCGTATTTGATTTACGTGACAAATGTGTTATCTACTATTAGAAGGCACAGATGTTACGTGGGCTGTGAGGAAGGCCTTAGAATTACTACTGCCATGCCCACATAGTACATATAAAATAAATCACTGCCCATCTCACCAGGAGATGACTCTCTCCCTGTCTCTCCCCCTCTCCCTCCCCCTTCCTGTTCTCTCTCTCTCTCTCTCTCTCTCTCTCTCTGTGTGTGTGTGTGTGTGTGTGTGTGTGTGTGTGCCCCTCTGCTTGCCTGCCTAGCTGTATCTATATCTCTGATATTTGTAATGAAGACTAAAAGATAGTAGAAGAATCCAATATAAGGTCATAATCATAGATTGTTGGACTACAGTGAGATTTCAAAGTTAATTTACTTCACTGCCACAAAGTTAATCAGCCACAAACTAAGAAGAGTTATGTGTCCAGCCCACCAATGATATCAATGTTTGAATTAGAAGCCAAGGAGAGTTTTTCCTGCATCTGAGCTTGTGATGGATGTACCAGATATACCAATGACATATACAGAAAAAACAAACTGGCTTTTCAAAGCAGATTCAGAGTAGGGCCTTTAAAAGAATAAATAGACTAGGACTTACAAGTAAGGACTAAGATTAATACAATAGTTCCCAAAGAAAGTGAAATACATTCCCAAGAGTTCACTATTAAGACAAAAGAGCAAGCGAGATGTAGTCAATGTTTGTCTTTACTGTAGTGATGCCTTTATGCGTAATGTTCTACTTGAACTATCAACTCCTTGATACAGTTTTCAAATATTTTATCCAGCATTTTATCATAAGTTTATACCATGAATTTTAATAATTTTATTTTATAATTTAATAATTATAACTTAATGATTAAAACATTTAATAATTTTAACTAATTTCTTGTAAATTTTTAATAAGTTATCAAATAACAAATTAAATCATTTTACTAATAAAATATCAGCATTAAGTCATAATGATAATAATTCAAAGAAAAGGCATGTATTAGTGATTATTGTTATAGATAAAAATATAATTTTCCTAAAATATCTATAGAGGCATAAGTGTCATTAAACTTTCTAGAAATTCACCTGAACATAATCCTGAGTCTCTAAATAAGGACTCAGGTTGCAACAACTTATGTTCATTTAAACACTGTGGTATTTTTTGCTTGCAATGGGACTATGTAAAAATTGAAAAAAAAAAACTCATGGGTCTTATTAATGAAGTTATTTTCATAATGAGTTGCAAAAAAATAAAAATTTTAGCAAAATGTAAATAATTTTCCATGAATTTTTATTTCAATTTTTCTGTTTTGGTGACTTCCTTGAAATAACACCTTTGACAACTTATTTGTGACCCTAACTTATTTCTGGTTCATGACATCACATTGGAATGTCATATGTTACCATGCTGCAGTTTATTTTCCAAACTATTCAAAAGAGGAAGTGATTTCTGCACAGTTTTATACAGGTTAGCATTGAAGGAATATATTTGACAGCATGCACAATGGTATTTTCATGGGGAATCTAAATATAAATCGAAATAAATCCTGATTAAAACTTAACCAAGCAAAAAAACCCACAGATTATCTGTATCCCAATTAAATATGACAAGTGAATACTTGACAGGTTTCTGTTCTAATTCTGTTTATGGCAGAATGGCCCATTAATACTGAAGATGAAATTACCAGAACTCAAGAAATACAATCCCAATTTATAACTAATGGTGATCCAAACAGAACTGTTACTCAAATGTGCACTGTTGTGTCTGGATTGCTGAAAATGCTTCTTATCTACTTCTGTAATTACATATAGATCAGGTATAGCACAGTTCTCAGGCAGCATCAAATGATAAATCACTTACATGAACCCTCTGTATCAAGTGCCAGCCATGTGTAGAAAAATTGGTTGTGTTACCATGGCTCTTTATGTTGATAGGATGTAATACATGGTTATGTAAAAGAACGGGAACCTTCTTTAGCAAATGTTTCTCAGTGAACTTTGTATTCTGTTTGTATACACCCCTTTTTTATGACAAGCGTATTTCTGAAAATTGACCTATGTGGGCTTACCAAGCATAATTATACTTTAATTAGGCATCATTTCTTGATTGTTTTTAAAATGTAGAACATCTTTAAAGAAAAAGAAAAATAACAGAAAAACACCATCTTATGCTTATAGTGCCAGGGTTACAAAAACAACTGACATCCTCCCCCAGAAAAGATTCAACGATACAGCATGCTGTTTATTTAAAAAAAAAAGTGAAATTTATTATTATCAAAAGGTAACTTAATATAAAACAGAAACTCCAAGTGCAATGAATCCAGTCCTGTGTGTATGTATGTATGTATGTATGTATATTTGCATATATGTTTACTAATTTAAAATTTATTTTGTCCAAATAATTTTAAATATACTTGCCTTAACTATATACCCAGAGGCATTTTAATCTACACCAAAATGTTACACTCATTCCAAAATGTTACACTCATTCCAAAATGTTACACTCATTCCAAAATGTTATACCCATTTCAAAATCTTCTGACAAAATATTGCTTTTTTTGGAAAGACCATATCAAACTCTCTTCCACATTAACACACACCACCATTCACACAGATAAGCATGCCTAACAGCCACGAGGCAAAATGCCTTTTAAAACCTGAATAATTGATCAAGAGGGGCAGCAATCAACAGGACCTGATATCAAATCTAATAATAATGTAGAAAGATAATTGTTTAGTATAACTTAGTTTACAAAACTTCACTTGGGCGGGGCTGTCACTGTTTGATTTGTTCATTGCTGGATTTTAATATTCACAGGTAAAATTTTGAAAAAGAAGCTTGTTTTTCTTTGCATTAGTACTCTGTCTTGTCTTTGTACCACCGAAGAAACTGGTAGTAAAGCAAGGAAAAGATCTCTTCTTCATTAGCGGATTGAGGTGGTGAATATCATAAATCCATTTTTACTATTCACGTCACCCATGCCTTTCTCGATAAATAACAAAATCGCACTGGAAATAGGAATGGAGTTAGGAAGTTAGGAAAAGCTTTCTCACGCTACCGTTTGGCATAAACATATTCCTCAAATGTTCAATTAGTACTCAAAATGCAGAAAATAAATACCACAATTGTCTTTAGGAACACGAGCCAAATGTGAAAGCATTTACATATATTGTCTTAAATATCATTTTATGATATACACAAAGGCATGAGGGAGAATTTTGGCAAGTGTGAGAATAGCCTTACAATGAGGTAAGAGTAGGGAGAATTACACTTTGTTCTGTTTACTTTAAGGGAAGAGGAGCACTCGTGGTATTTACTGCATGCTAGGGAGAGCAAGAAGCTGCTGCAGCTCCCATCCATTTCACCTGGCACCCAAAAGGAAAGGGTCTGGGGATGCATTGCTGAGCATTCAGGAAACTCAAGCCAAGTGTGTTCATGGCCATTGCCTTTCACTAAGATTGGCTAGTGACAATTGAAGAAATAGTTGCATGACAAAAATGAGTAGGAGGAAAGAGTCAAATAAGGCCTCTCCTAGTGGTTGTTGTTTAGCAGTTGTACCCTGGTGTAGCATTTTCATAGCAGGGACTGCTCTAATGGACTTCTAGGTGCATTTATTTCTGAGGAGCTGTTTGAAACGATGGCATAATTTTATGACTTTTATCTACAAAGTTATGCTTCTTTATTTGGTCATATCTGGATTTTAACCGAGTGTTTAGTATTTTTAAATAGTTTTGGTGTGACCTACTTTGTTTTTATTTTAGACTAGCTCTCACAAGCCTAGTTACTCTGGCTCCCTAGCGTGATTATGTGTGTGGATGCTGTGTTTGCCCCTACCATTTTCCATATGTTCTGCCTCACCAACACTGCCATCCGGCGTGGTCCTTTCATAGTTGTCCTCTGGGAGTGGAAGGGCACCCAGTCTTGGCCCTGATGAACTCTTACTGCTTGGTGTTTCTGACTCCTCCAGCCCGCTGTCATAGCAACTCTGCAGTGACCCCTGATGTGGGTCCTGAGGCTGACTCACAACAGAAAACGTCACTCTACGAAATGGCTGTAAAAGAAAAGATTCTGAATGTCACTAAGATATAATACTTCACATTATCTTATTTCATAAAATACATAAATTACACACTTAAAAGCATATAGACACTAATTCAATGCAAAATGATTACACATGTAGAAATATATCTTGATAACTGTATATTATCTAAGACAAAGCCTAGAGATTATACTATTTTTTTTGGGGGGGGGGATCATCTTTTGAAAGAGCAATAAGGAAACAAATGTTATCCAACACGAATTGAAATCAAATAGACTAGTTTTATATAATCAGCCCGTTACATTTTTTTCCCACAAATACATTTCATAAAAAAGCAAGGGTCAGTCAGGAATTTGGGGAGTAAATAAAACACTACACCAATCCATCGTGAAAGGATGTCTTTTAAATAGTTCATCCAAATGGCAGAATGCATTCACATCCAGTCCATCAGATACAGACTCTTACACCCTTTTGCTGGCACTCAGCTACAAACAGTGCAGCTGTGGATGTGGCATTAGGAAATTGCAAATATTTATTACTTTGTTGCAATAAAAAAAATCTATTTGAAACTGTAAGGGGCATAGTAAGACAACCTGTAAAACTCTCTCCAACCCATTAATGGGGAATAAATCAAAAAAGACTCAGCTGCATGCGTTTCCCATAATTGCACTTCATTCAAACACAGTAAAGTCAGGTGTGGTGTTTATTTGGTTTATTGGATGTTCTATAAAACTACCCAACTAGACCCAACAAGTACTGTGCTAGTGGCAATGTCTGGTCATGTCGACTGGGCATGAAATATGCAAGTTATCTTAGTTACATAATAAAATGAAAGTAAAGCTCTTTATGGGAAAAACTAATGGTGCATCATCCATAGAACAAACTAACACATTAAGGGAATGTACAATACTGATGATATGACATGAAATGTAAGTGCTACATGATGCTTTATTAGCTGTCTGAAATTCTTTTTTATAATCTTTATTTAAATTATAAATCTTATTTTACATACCAATCCCAGTTCCCTCTCCCTCCCATCCACCCATTACCCCCAGCAATCCCCCCTCCCACCCTACATCCACTTCTCAGGAAGGGTGAGACCTTCCATGGGGGATCATCAAAGTCAGTCACATCATTTGGGGCAGGACCCAGGACCCCCCCCCATGTATCCAGGCAGAGAGAGTATCCCTCCATAGGGAATGGGCTCCCAAGTCCATTTGTGCATTAGGGTTCCACTACCTGAGGCCCCCATCACTACCCAAGCCCCACAACTTTGAAATTCTTAATAACAGTTCATATATTAATCCTGCATGAATTTGAATGTGACACCAATGGACATAGTTAACATACTTACAACCTACAACACCATTCCTTTCCAGTACACAGTTTAAAACTACTGTTGCCAAAACATATTGTAAATTTAAGAACTTTTTCTGGATGTTTATTGATTGAAAGCTCCCGGTACAAATCTCTGACCACAACCATGCCCAATAGGACTTTGAAGTTCTAAGGATTATCTACACATGGTAGATTAATAATGAGAAAGTTAATAATTGTGGCATTTTTGCCTAATTTATACATTGGTTTTGTTAAAAATTTATATCCACTTCCACAAATGTCTCCTTTATTCTCTTATAAAGAAAAAAAAAATCTATAACATCTGCATTGCTGATAATTCCTCCTACTAGCTCATCCCTTATGAGTTTCATAGAAACATACAGTCTATGAAAAATCTTTTTCATCCTATTCAAGCTCTCAACATGGGTGGGCATGAAATACCATTATGGTCTTTATAATATTTCATAGAATAGGGATAGTTATATGAAAAAATGGTTACACAGTATTTCATTGTGGATAACATACACATCATGGGACCAAAATCACACCCCCCCCCAAAAAAAACCCAGAGAGACATGGCCTCTATTTCACAAACATGTTATCTTTTCTTGTTAATGTGATCACTGTATTTTTCACTATTTAGAGAGAGAAATGATTTTTGTTTATCTAATTTTTTTATTTCTGCTTATATTCCTTCCTCTTTATCATTATCAGATGGACACACACTATCATCAATTGCCTGGGGAATTCAGTCTCCCTTTCAAAATGATGCCACTACAACTCTCTTAAAACTAACACGTTCTGCTCAGGTAACACTGCCAAACAGTGAAATATTAATGATTATTAATGTTAGTGATGTTAAGACAAGAAATATAAAGACCATGCAATGGGTTAAAAGCATTTATCTATCTAAAAAGCAAATGGAAGATTAAATGTTATTCATAATTCTACTTTAATAACCTTCAGATCTTGTAGGTTCAGCTTCAACTCTCAAAAGAAAAAAATTCAAAATGAATGAAAGCAGAGATACATAAGCTATATTATCTCAGAAAAGACTATGAGAAGTTATAAGGAATAGTGCTTCATTTTGATTTAAAAAAAAAGACAAAGAAGAAAAGGAAGGAAGGAAGAAAGAAAGGAAGAAAGAAAGAAAGAAAGAAAGAAAGAAAGAAAGAAAGAAAGAAATGAGGTGGTAATCTCAAAACCTGTGATGAGTTCTTTTTTCTCCCCTAATTACTATAACAATAACAGGTAGAAGGTCTATACTTCTAATGAAAAAAATGCCAAAAATAAATGTGATAATTCCACAATGGATTACATAATGATTGTCATAAACTTAGCATTTCATTTTCTTGATTTCCTGCCCCATTTTGATTGTGAATATTTTGATTTCCATAACTTATTTTAGAAGAGCATTAGAATTTTAAAATACTAAGTACTTAAACAAGCACTCAGTTCATCAGTTTCTTTTTGTATGAACGTTGTTTTCCTCATATAGTTTCCAAATGAATGCAAATATCATTCACATCAAAACTCAAAATGAAAAGCATCACACAGTGATCAAGAGCACACCCACCAATGATTTGATCAATTCTCAAAATGTGTCCTTAGAATTCTACAGCCCTGCAATATCAACATTATATCACTATATGTTATACTTTATTATTTTATATGTTTCTTTGTGAAAGTCACTATGGTAATAAATCCAACCTTGTAGGGAGAACAAAGTATTGGAGCTTAACCTAAGTATTGATGCAAAGGTTATAGTTCAACTTTCATAGCATGTCACACATATTCAGTTAGTTGGTATGTGGGCATACATGGAGAGCAGGGAGGATAGAAGGAGGGAGAGAGAAATAGACGGGGAAGCAGGATGAAGAGAGAGAGAGACCTATATTCTATCCGTCATCAAGTTGAATAAAGTGAGAGGACTGTTGGATTTTATAACAAGGGGTATAACACAGAGTTAATGCCACCTCCATATCGAAGGAACATGGGCTAATTTAGAAATGTAGACAGCGTGTTGACTTCCATACAAAAATTGCATTGCGTGCATCGCGGCGCTGTTTTTACTACTGGTTACACAGCGTAGAATAAAGTGATGAGTCCAGAGTTTATACTTAGAATTACCTAGAAAACTTGTAAACAATGAAATGCCAGTATCTATCACAACATAAACATTAAAAATAAGCTGCTCTAAAAGCCACCTGGGTTGTCCACCCTGTCTACAATTATAGCCATGTACTCAGAGCACACATGTAGGATCTGAAAGCATTCAGTCTCTTCTACATCAGGGTATGAGAAATATTTACCCACGCAAAAAAGGCTAAAAAGGCCTGGCAGCAACAGGGATGGACAGTCTAGCCTGTGTAGAGGATGGAAGTGGTCATCTATATGCCATACTTCATTACGTCACTAAAACTTGTGCTTATTTGGCACGCAATATCATCCCTTGCCTTTAAAAATTCTACACAGCGAAGAAGCTCAAAGGCTTGTAGATCCGTCTAAGCACAAACAAAACATCATGGCGTCCCAATGAAGTGCAAATGGAGACCTTGCTATTACACATGCTGGGAATCTTCAATGGTCCTTACAGGCATTTGGACTGAGATGTCTATGACAGGGGACACAGTTGAGAAGCAATTAGAACTTCCCTAGTGGGGGCGGATTAAATGAAGGAATGATTAAATGAAGGAACTGAGTGGAAACGTCCAATCACTGTTGAAGACAGGAAACTGTTAGTATAGAGAAGTTACTCTATACTAAAAATAATGTGGTCTCCTCTTGGCCAATCTAAACCCTGGGGAACAAGGGATGAAAGAGATAAGGGGGGGGGAAACACTTTACAGTGTGTACAAACTAAAAGACAAAAAGGTTTAGGCCAAGACTTATTTACTGATTCATAATTTCTTTCTTCATGGGCACGGGAACATATATGTTCATGGTAAGGTGAGTTTTTAAGATGCGAGCAAAACTAGGTGTTCAACGACAGAAGTCACAAATGGAAGAAAAAAAAAAAAAAAAGCTCAGTGAGAGGTAAACTAACCGCAACAAAGAATTATATTATATTCCTATTATATTCCAAAGAAACACAAAAGCAAAGTGAACTTCTTCCTTGGGTGCCTGCAAATGTGTATATGTATATATGTTTTAAATAAGAAAACGGAAGCTTTAAAAATAGCAGAAAAGGAAAAGCAAATTTTTCAAATTTCCCTATAGATTTTCTATGTGACCTTGGACAAGTTAGCTGACCTTTGGTTCTTATGCCTTAGGCCCAGGGTCTGTAAAGTAGAGATAATGGTATCTGTCCCTTAACTCTTGGAGCATTAATGAGATGGCTTATAAAAAAAAGCCTTAAGCTCCCTCCGAGACACATCCTATAAAAGGCACTATACCTCAGGCCACTCATAAATAACCAAAGTTACCTCTCATCACATTAGTTTGATTTGTTTTTTCTTAAAGAAACTATAGAGCTGGCTCAGTCATTCACAAAGCTCCCAGGTAGAAGTTCTAAAATTCACATAAAATTCCAAGCCTAATTTCTTGTCCCAACCAACAGATTATTTACAAAGTATTCATGTACACACGAAAGCAACCAAATACTTCAAGAACTACTTTAATTTTAATCCTCATTAAGCACAAATATCTTGCTGGTCAATTAATTTGTGAAGGCA